TTTTTTTTTTTTAAAGTATGCTCATAAATGCTCTGAATTCCCACTAATCATTGCTAATCTTTTGGAAAATTGCTTGTTTAGGCATTACAATTCACTCGGCTCATGAGTTAAAATAGTTTTGTTTTACATACTCTTCAATTTTATGGGTATTTATGTTTCCACATAATTTAGCAGTATATGTTGCAACTCGGTAATATTGCTTAGCAGTTTCAGTTGAATTCAAAGTAGAAATCACTTTCTTTCTTTGTGACAACTCTAATGAATTGGTCGGCTCTTGTCAAATTTTGCGAAGGCAGAAAGGTCCCTTTGTGATTTTGAAAATGCATTTATTGACGTTTACGGGGTTTGGGGTAGTGTTTCAAACACTCTCACCAAAAGATGGCTTTGAAATCAAGCTATCTGAAGATGCTGTAGAATTTACCTTTTTACTCTATGGTGCCATTATTCTGCAATAGACTTGGAGATTTGTTCAGTTTCTGTAGGAATCCTAAGCTGTGATATTGATAACGTATCTTACTGTCAGACTACAAAAGTTAATTTTGCAAGGCATCGGGATTTGGGACAAAATGCGTTAAACACCCAACTGGTTTCACTCTACGCACGCTTGTTTTGCAAAGAAATGTAAATATAACGCTACACTTGCAAAATGGACTGTTTTATAGATTTTCCTTCACCCTGTCCTTGAAAGGTGTCCTGTGCTGGGAAGTGTCTCATGGTGTTCTCTTAAACAGCATTAACTTCTTGTCTGTGCTTCTCTACTAAAGTCTTTGTTTTGGAGTAAACGGAAAAAAAATGGCTTTCTTTGAAATGATTGGATACCGTTTCCCTTCTCAAACCTCCTTCTTTCTGCCTTCTAGTTCCTACAACAGCAGCCAGCACACCTGATGCCGTCGACAAATATCTTGAGACACCCGGAGATGAGAATGAACATGCCCATTTCCAGAAAGCCAAAGAGAGGCTGGAGGCCAAGCACCGCGAGAGAATGTCCCAGGTAATGTGACTTTTCCGTCCTGGAGTCTACAATAAAGGGGAAGTCTGGACTTGCCCCTGCCTCAGAGTCTCCCCAGGGACCCTATGGCTGGTGAATGCCTAGGAATGGGAGGGGTCTTTAATTTTATCCAGCTCTTTAAAGGCGTAAAGTCTTAGTTTTAAATGTTTGCTCTGAGGGTACCCATTTAGGGTTTTTAGAATCTTCTTTGAGCATGCCACCTAGGAGAGATCCATTGACACTAAGGATAGCAAGATTTTGTAAGCACAAATTTGGTTATGTCTACAACATTGCCTCTGGTTTTATTACCCGGGTGTATGCGGACCCATAACTATGGTGTTGTCCATTAAACTCCCTTAGAATGATCTGTAGTAAAGACGAGTATTTTTTTATTAGTTGCCAAATTATTATAACTTTGAACCTAACATGTCTTACAAAGCGAATTCATAGAACCACAGGAACGTAAAAGCAAAGTGAACCCTAACGATCATACCATCTTGTTTCATCAATGATAGATAATGCAGTGTGGTTCAAGAGTGTGACTTCACACTCTAGAAGAACGCAATATAAGTAACACGAGAGACAGGCATTTGTAACTGGAGCCTTTCTTGCTCCTGATACAGTGCTCTTTTCAGTACACTGTGCGGCAAACACTGGTTTTGTTTGTTTGTTTGTTCGGGTTTTTTTTTTTTTTTTGGCAGATTCTTTATGAAACAAATTAAAAAATAATTTGTTCAAAAACTGATTTACATATAATAATATCAATTTATGATGCCTATACCAGGTGCTAGATGTTGTATATATTAGAGATAGATAATATTAATTTTAGCCCTTTCTCAGATTCTTCGTTCATTCATTCATTCATTCATTCATTCATTTATTCAACAAATATGTATCAGCACTTACTTGCCAATCACTGGCCAACTTGCGTCCACAATTTAGAGTGTGAAAAAAACATACGAAGAGTCAGATTTAAGGAACCATAAGTGAGTAAATGAGGAAAGCTCTCAGGTTAAAGTCAACCATTCCCTTATTTGGTGTTAACATTCTGTGGTAAATATAGGAAGGTATTACTAATTCTTGTACTGTTTAGCAGAAATACTTGTAAGTGTTCATAATAGACATTAAATAGGATTCATTAATTAGTCTGCTGTATGTTTTCTAAGACCACAATAAGTCTTTAGTAACAGCATTAATCATGGTGTTTTGACATGTGGGGCCTTACTAACTGTAGGGAGACCTCCCCCTCCAAGAGTTAGCCAGTTCTAGAGGTAGCAAATGACTAGCCTTTGGGCACACCTTCCATCGTCAAACCAACCACTTCAAAGCCCATATCCCCCAACTGCCTTCTTCAGGCTCTTACACTCTGACCCACTATCTACCTCCTCACCCCAAGTCTAGGTACCAGACATCTAGGGAGAGCCCCTGTACCCCAGAACCTACCAAAACTGTTCAAACTAGCCGAATCTAAGCCTGCTTACCCTGACTCACCCATTCCTTCTCAAGGAACCCAGACTCCTGGCTACATTTTCCCTCATGCCCTCTACCTCCTGACCCACCCTAGTGCTTCCCCGCCCTCTTCCCCTCAATGACATGGCATGTTGCCTCCTCTTGGGAACTGTGTGTGAGTAACAGTCTTTTTTCAATGGCATTTTTCTCCTGATCTGTTGACCTCAACATACTTGAATATTTAAAAAAAAAAAAACAAACAAACCTATATTTTTTATTTTATTTTATTTTTTATGAAATTTATTGTCAAATTGGTTTCCATACAACACCCAGTGCTCATCCCAACCAAAAAAAAAAAAAAACCCTACATTTTAAAACAGAACTGCTAATGGATCTAGAAGACACAACACAATTAGTTGGGGTTTTTTGTTTGTTTTGTTTTGTTTTGTTTTTAAGAGGAATGACCATAACACTTGGATCCATTTTGGAATAATAACAAGTTGGGGGAGAGTTAAAATTCTTTGAATCTGGAATGTAACATGTAATTGTAGTTGTTGGCCATGATGAACACATAAAAGCAAGTTGAACTAGAAAGCTAGGTAGAATGGAATACTGAGGTTTCACCCAAAGGCAGTCCCTCTGAAAAACAGGACTTTTCATTAGGAAAAAAACGCAGGCTGGTATATAATCACTGTTAAGAAAGCATAGGATGACTTGGAGTTGTATTTATTACCTCTGAAATAACACCTTTTAAGCTTAAATCCTGTCTCACTTTTTGTTTCTGAAGCTTTCAGAGCCTTCTTGCTGGTCTCAAAATCATTTCAGGCACAATGAAGTCCAAAAAAGAATAATAACAAAAATAAACATTGAAAGCTTGGCTTGGCTAGGCTTTTCCAGTACTGAGTGATTTATTAGTGATTTTTTTGATACATATGTCAGTTTCAGATACTCCAGATCTCTCCTAGAATAGCAACTTAATTTTATTTTAGCAAATCTATTTAACCCATGACTTAGTCCATATAAATCTTTACAGAGTTTCCTCATCTCTTAGTTATTAGTTATATCTGAGATATGAGATGTTATATAAGATATGATATATATATATATATATATGATGTTATATAAGATATAAAAGATGTTATGCCAGAGCAGAGAGTGCATTGGTCTGCTAATTCCAGTGGTTGTAGGAAAGCGAGATGCCTGAAATTAACATTTATCTTCATAATCTGTGGTCCTGAATTCTGGGGACTGTTTGACTTTGAACTTGCCTGCCTCTTAAATCTCTATCTATGTACTAGTTGTCATTTTTTCTACATAAAATAACTAAGTCTTTGAAGATCCATAAATCCAATGATAACTGATAACTTTTGTTCATGCAGTGGAAAATTGCTTCATAAGACTATATGGAGGAACCTGAGACTTCTAATTGAATTTTTTTTGTAATTTTTGTTACTATTTGTTTTCTTATGAAAACAGACATTTTGGAGGTTTTTTTTTTTAGGTATTTGGTTGCTGGGGCTCATGATAACTAAACTTATAGATTGCTGTTGAATAGGGTCTAGCAAATCTAAGATTCTGAATAGTCTATGAATGCTTTTTATTCTATATATATATATCATGTAATAATTATATATGTTACTTATTTAGTAGTTTTACTATATCATTAAAATGAAATTTTTCAAAATGAAAGTTGACATTTCTCTAAATTTATTATTTTTAAGATAAGCATCAACATCTTAGGAACAATCCTTTTCCTGTCACCAAATAAAAAGAAACTTAGCTCACCTATTGAATTTGCCTTTGTTTTATGTTATTATATAAATATTATATATTTTATATATATTTATGTATATTTATAAATATACATGTATAACATTTATATATTATTTATGTGGATATATAAACACATAATTTATATAAGTTATATATATATACATATATATAAAATGTATATGTAATTTTTGTATTTGTTAATGGCACATTGGGCCATGGAAGACAAAAGCACGGTCTTTAGAGCTACAATGATCTTGGTGTATATCCTTCCTTCTCCATTTTTTTTTTCCTCCGTGACCTCGAGCAGGTAGCTTAACCTGATCCATAAAATGGAGATCGCCATGACTCATCTCATGGACTGCTTAAGTCATCAGTTAAGCAAGATAGACTTTATGAAGCTCTTAATACAAGATCTGCCATGTAGCAAATGTACAGTAATGTTTGTCATTGGAGCACTGCAGTGGAAGCCGCTGTTCTAGGAGAGAGATTGAGCCTGTGGTGTGTGTTTATCTTGCATTAAATAGGCCTAGGGTGATGGTTTGAGTGAATTGTTTTCTTTGGGAGGGTACAGGATATGGTTAAATTGCTCTGAAAGTCAAAATTCAATTTCATTTTGTAGTAGTGTTTATTTTCAATGCATCAGCCAAATCAGTCTCTTTAATTATTCCATGTATTTCCCAAGCTTAAGGTTTACAGACCAGGTTCGGAATGTACTAGGTGAGATGGCAGAAATGTAAAGGTAATACAGGAAATCAGTCTTCGCATTCCAATAAGCCCCTTGGTTTCTCTCTCAGACGAATTTTGAGATTCCTTGCCGTAAGAGTTCATGGTAGAGCACCGCCACCGTGAACATTCTCAAAGCAGGAAATTGAAATATTTTTTATTGCAAGCCGTATCTCCTCCATAAAGCAGAGGTGGTCTTCGTAGCCCCCTCCGTACAGGTGCCCTTTATTAACTCTTAGAGACACCAAAGCATCTGGGACCACGTGTTCTTTTGTGTTCTGTTCTTATTCATAACAGTAGGACATTGGTTCCAATTTTGTTGTGACCTGTTTAGGTTATTTTTTACATGTTCTTCAAGTATAATAGAAAATTCACTCCGTTCTGTTTTCTCCATAATTTCATAAAAACAACACAAGGAAGCTAGTCTCGTATCCTATATAACAAATTAATGCTAGTAGCTAATAAAATATCTAAATAAAAACCTACATGGTGATTTGATATGGTGTTATCTCATAGAAGTTCTCTGTCAATAGTTTTTTATTCTAAGTCTCTCTCTCTCTCTCTCTGTCTCTTTTTTTCTGATCTTGAAGGATGTCAGAAAAAAAATCAGTTCTTTAGGGACAAATACCTATAAATAACAGGCTTTGATAGTACAGATATTAGGTTCTTTTGTGCTTTGTATATCTACAAAGTATGTAAGTACATATCTGTCAACCGACCATTATTTTGCTTACTTGATCTTACTATTCTTTATTCTACCTAGTTCCGGTATGAGTTGCACTTAAAAAAGCTCTGCCTGACAGAGTATAGTACACTGGGAAAGGAAAGGCAGCCATAGGTGGTAAGAATCTAGTTTCATTCCATTTCAACAACATGCACGCAGCTGCAAGCTTCTTGGCATTCAGGCCAATGAATGAACCTCTCTCAGCGTAACCCTGGGTGGACTTCGAGGATGAGAAGAACAGGTGTTCTTTTCCTACAGAGCAGATTAGCCTGGTTACTAAATTAGCAGTACTTGCTAAGAATACGTTTTGCTACATTTGGAACATTATAATGTGTACTCTCTTGGAATTTCTGGAGGTATATAGGGTCTTCTTTGCTGTTCATGATGGGGTTTGGCGAGCAAAGGCCCCCCCTTACCTACCATCAGTGGGGCGGACCTGACGATTTCTGACAATAGAATTCTTCTTTTTCTTCCTCCATTATGTACTTCTTTTGGGGAGTGTGTTCATGGCATCCGTTAAATATTCATGCCTTGGGGCGCCTGGGTGGCTCAGTCGGTTAAGCGGCCGACTTTGGCTCAGGTCATGATCTCGCGGTCCGTGAGTTCCAGCCCCGCGTCGGGCTCTGTGCTGACAGCTCAGAGCCTAGAGCCTGTTTCAGATTCTGTGTCTCCCTCTCTCTGACCCTCCCCCATTCATGCTCTGTCTCTCTCTGTCTCAAAAATAAATAAACATTAAAAAAAATTTAAAAATAAATAAATATTCATGCCTTCCCCACTCCCCCACCCCCCACCCCATTTACTGTTTAAAAATACACAGTTGGAAATTTTGTAACTCGCTTTCACAAAAAACTAAGACTAAAGTATTCAATTTAATGTTGGAAATCCTTGTTCAAGAAATATATATAGAGGCGTCTGGGTGGCTCAGTCGTTTAAGCATCTTAACTCTTAATCTCGGCTCAGGTCATGATTTCACAGTTCGAGAGATAGAGTCCCACGTCAGGCTCTGTGCTGACAGTGCAGAGCCTGCAAGAAAAAAAAAAAAAATACATATCTATATGCCCTTTATGGATCGTTGACATTTGTGCACATCAAACAAAATGACTTGCAGCCACTTCTCAGGAAAAGAAAAAAAAGCTACCTTTGTTTCAAAGGGCCATATTCCTTCGATGAACATGAACATTGCTGTGTAATATACTGCTATGAGAAATGATACACTTCTTAGTGGGAGGTCAAACAGTTTGGAGATAGGACTGGAATGTGATAATTTTCTTAATGTTTACAGTGTCGAATACAGAAAGAATAGATCTTTGAGAAAAGAACTGATGGTTTTAAATTGAAATGTTTTCTCATCTTGTAGGTCATGCGAGAATGGGAAGAGGCAGAAAGGCAAGCAAAGAACTTGCCTAAAGCGGACAAGAAGGCAGTCATCCAGGTAAAACCCAGGCGGGTTCTCCACCGGGCAGCATGGGCTAGCACCTCTAGAACCCCCAGGGGGATTGTTCACATTCCCACTAATTTGGACTATTGTTCATCATTGTCCAGGAATTCAGTTTCTTCAGCTCTTCCTTGTATTTGTTCGTAATTAGCTCAAGTTTTAATTCATTGCCATAAAACCCCTGTTGCTCCTTGCATTCTGCTTTTGGTTGCCAAATTCTTCCTTTACCTCTTCCCCTGGCACAAATCACACGCCATGATTAGACTTTTGCGACAGGAACTCCTCTCACAGCTGCCTTAAGCAAATTGTAAGATCCTCGTGGTCACTTTCCTATTAAAATACGTTGAGGAAGAGCAGAGTTGTTTTGGTTGGTTTTTCTTTGTTTGCAATGTAATTTCGAGTTTTAAAAGTAACAGAAATTTAGCCTGTGCTACAGCTCGTCCAGTCAGTCTTCGGGGGCCATAGAGAAGAATGATTTACAGTGAGAAATCAGGATTGAGGACGGGGTGCAGGAAAGGGAGGCAACCCATAGAGCATGCCGAATTAGTCAAAATGTTGGAAGGACTGTAAATCTTGGAGTCAAATGGAGTAGGATACCCCCTTGGGAAGCCCCATGCTGCACGTCCGGTCCCGTGTTGATGTGTGCACGTGTTTGCAACGGCAGCATTTCCAGGAGAAAGTGGAGTCCCTGGAGCAGGAAGCAGCCAACGAGAGGCAGCAGCTGGTGGAGACGCACATGGCCCGAGTGGAAGCCATGCTCAATGACCGCCGTCGCCTGGCTCTGGAGAATTACATCACTGCCCTGCAGGCTGTGCCCCCTCGGGTAGGTCTGGCGAGGCCTCCTTTCACAAGTCGCTTCGGGGCCCAACACAAACAGGAGGCGTGGGGGCGCGGGGGGTGCTGAAGGCCACCGGAAGGAAATCTGGGGACTGTTACGAGCACCATTATGTACAGGTTTGGCCTCGGTTCCCTTGTCTTGAAGGTTATGGGGTCACAGGGGAGCCACCTGCACAGGGTCATCTCAGCGCAATAGACACTCACGCCTTTCCACAGAGCCGTCAGGCAGGCTTCCCGGGGACTCGACGCGCAAGACCTGACCCCAGTTAATGTGCCTGGGACAGTGACACGTCAGGAAACGTGTCAGTGACAGCCGAAGTCAGGAAACCGCAAAAGTTGACAGGACTTTCTATGTAACCATCTAATGACAAATAACTGAGGGTTAAGAAGAGTTGGGGCGTGGTCGGGCTGTTAGGATTTCTGTCAGGATTTTGAGGAACTAGAACTCAAGTTTCCTGCTGAGGGAAGCAGTCATATTCTCTGGTGGGAAACCCTCATCAGTCATGGTGTCCACAGAGAAGAGGCCTTGTTGGAGGTTTTCAGCAATAAATGCCCAGAAAGGCTTCCTGAGCAATGCAAGCGGATCTCCTCAGTGAGGCTTCATGGGAGAGTTTACTTTGGACATAAGGAACATTCTGAGCGGGAGTGTGTGTGTACTATGTCCGTCAGTTTATCCGTTACTGAGTGAGCGACATTAAAATCTCTGCTATTTTCTCATGTGATGCTATCAGCTTCTGCTTTTTGTATTTTTGAGGCTTTGTTTTTAGGCACAGAAACATCCAGAGCTCTTACGTCCTCCTTCGCGCCCCCCCCCCATTATCATTATGACATGACCTCTTTATCCCTGGTACTATGTTTTGCTGTGAAGTTACTGTGTCTGATATTAAAGGTATTTCAGCTTTCTTCTGATCAATGTTATCATAGCATATCATTTTTCCATCCTCGTGGAACCTGTCTTTACAGTTGAAGTGCATTTCTTATAGGCAGCATACAGTTGAATCTTGCCTTTTAAAATTGTGAACACCATGTGATGAAGTTATTGATACAGTTATGCCTAAATCTGTCGTCTTGCTGCATCTCCTATTTGTTTCATCTATTCTTTGTTCCCTTTCTCTTCTTTTTTCTGCCAACTTTTGGACTAATAAGATATTTTTTTATGGTTTTCTTATATGCCCGTTGTAGGGTTTTTAGAACCGTAACTCTTTCTGTCGTTATTTTAGCGTTTGCCTCAGAGTTTTAGAAAATGTTTCTTTTTTTAAAATTTTTTTTTCAACGTTTTTATTTATTTATGGGACAGGCAGAGACAGAGCATGAACGGGGGAGGGGCAGAGAGAGAGGGAGACACAGAATCGGAAACAGGCTCCAGGCTCCGAGCCATCAGCCCAGAGCCTGACGCGGGGCTCGAACTCACGGACCGTGAGATCGTGACCTGGCTGAAGTCGGACGCTTAACCGACTGCGCCACCCAGGCGCCCCTAGAAAATGTTTCTAACACTTCCCAATATTATACCAGCACAAGTGATACTATGCCACTTCATGTACATTACAAGAACCTCATCAAATTCTTCCATTTCCCCTTTCCCAATCTTTGGTCTGTTGTTGCCATACTTTTTCCGTACTACATTATTGTTAGTTTTCTTTTAAACAATGAATTATCTTTTAAAAAGTTACATAATAAGAAAAATAGTTATCTAGATAGTTACCATTTCTGGTGCTCCTTAATCCTTGCATAGATCCATCTGGAATTATCTTCGTTCTACTCAGAGGACTTCCTTGAAAGTTTCTTTTAATGCATGTAGATTGGTGAAGAATTCTTTTGCTTGTGTATATCTGGAAAGATCTCTATTTCACTTTTGTTTTTGAAAGACGTTTTTGCTGGGTATAGAATTATAGGTAGAAGTTTTCTGCAGCTACTTTAATGATGATGTTCCATTGTCTTATTTGCATGGTTTCCAACAAGAATGCTAATACCCTTTTCTTTATCTCTGTAAATAATATATCTTTTTTTTTTTTTAATCTGGCCACTCTGAAGATTTTCTCTTTATCACCAATTTTGAGCAATTTGATTATGATGTGCCATGTGTATTTCAATCAGCTATTTATCCCATATGGCTGTTTTTTGTGTCCTACATTGTAGCTTTCACATCTAGAAGTTTAGTCTGGCTTTTGTTTGTTATTTTCATATCTCTCATTTCTTCACCTAAGTTTTTAAACTTTTGGAATGCATTTATAGTTACTTTTAATATCTTTGGTTGCTACCTCTAATATCAGCTTTGGGTCAATTTTGATTGATTTTGTTGATTGTTTTCATTATATGTAGTATTTTCCTTCATCATTTCATACCTAGTAGTTTTTTATTGGCTGTCAGACATCATGAACTTGACTTTGTTGAGTGCTGGGTACTTTCGTACACCTCTATTTTTTTTATATATATTTTTTAACGTTTATTCATTTTTGGAGAAAGAGACAGAGACAGAGTGCAAGCCAGGGAGTGGTAGAGAGAGGGGGAGACACAGGATCTGAAGCAGGCCCCGGGCTCTGAGCTGTCAAGCACAGAGCCCGACATGGTGCTCAAACTCACAAACCACGAGATCGTGACCTGAGCTGAGTCAGACACTTAACCGACTAAGCCACCCAGGTGCCCCTGTATACCTCTGTTCTTGAGCTTTGTTCTGTAATGTTAAAGTACTCAGAAACGGTTTGATCCTTTTGGGTTTTGCTTTTAAGACTTGTTAGGTGGGTTCAGGGCAAGTTATCAGCTTATGGCTCATTCAGCAATACAGAGGTAAGATTCTTCTGAGTAATCTACTGTGAACACTGAGTTTTCCCATCTGGATGGTGGGAACAGGTGCTATCCCTGACCCTGTGTGAACACCAGGCGCTGTTGCCGCTAATCTTTTTGGGTGTTTTTTTTCCCCCATGGTCTCAGCTGGATTCTTTCACTTGCATGCTTTGATCATGAGTCAGCTACTTTTTGCATAGGGACATTATATGCAAATCTGGGTTCTCTGAGCAACTCAGTCCTCCCCAGCACTCCTGCAGTTCTAGAGCTCACCTCCTTCATGTCCCCTTTCTCAGTGTTCACTGTCCTTCACCTGATGTCAGATGTCTTTTAGAAGCATAGTTCTGTATATTTTGTCCATATTTTGGTTGTTACAGGCAGTCGGGTAAATCTGGTTCTCATTACTCCATCTTGGCTGAAAGCAGCAGTTGGCATGTATGATGTGACTAAACCAAAAAGTCTCCCACTTACACTGATTCTCCTCATTTTGATTTTTCCTTTGATGCTAAAGTTACAGCCCAGAAAGCTCTGAGGAACCATAGAAGAGCTTCCAGTACTCTTGTATAGATAGTGAGATTGAATTGACCTTGTTCTACCAGTGACATCACTGAGATTGAGTGTCTGGTCCGGGGTGACACCACCACACTGGTTCATGGACAGGGTGGAGCTGTCACAGCCGACCACTGGAGTGCCTTCTTACTAGACCACACTTCCTCTCTGAACAAAAGGCTTTTGAAAAAGAATATCACATTAGCATTTGCATGTTCTATTCAGAAAAACAGTCTCTGTTCTAGCACTGTTCGGTAAAATCCTGTTTACATGCGTTTGGAGAAGAAGTTCCTTGGTTACTCTCTTTTTCTAGGGTACTCGATTTTGGAGTCAGGGCCGTTAGGATCGTTCGCCAGAGCAGGGCTGGGTGTGGGTGTTGAGACCAGAATCTCAATCACTGACAGTTTACTGGAATGTTCCAGCTGAAAGTCCGGTCTCTGAAGTAGGGTCTTTGCAGTGTGGTCATTGATGGAGCTAAAAATCAGATGGGGACTGAATGGAGTCCTGAACCAAAGCACATTTCAGAATTTTCAGTTCTGTCCCATCTGCCATCACAGGAAAGATGGTGATGAGAAGAGTATTTGCCAAAGCTTCCTGTATTACCAAAGGGGATACTTTCAGACTGGTCACAATCGTATTCATTCTGGGCCTGTTGATCTCTTCATGCAGAATTAAATATCATGTTAATTTGAAATAAAAATTAAAGACTGGATTAGGGGCTATTTTACTGTCAAAAAAAATCAGATTGTTGTTGATTGATCCAAGAAGTCTATTGAATTCTTCCCTGGAAACGCATAAAACTCTCCCATGTAATAAAAACTGGGGCTGGATAGTCATGGGGCTGCAATCTTGCTGTCACCTGCCATTTAAAAAAAAATTCTTTTTTAGGGGCGCCTGGGTGGCTCAGTTGGGTGGTGTCTGACTTCAGCTCAGGTCATGATCTCATGGCTTGTGAGTTTAATCTTGGTTTCATTAATTCATCTTACGGAAAGGCAGTTGGTATGTATGATGTGACTAAACCAAAAAGTCTCTTACACTGATTTCTCCTCATTTGATTTTTTCCTTTGATGCTAAAGTTCAGCCCAGAAAGCTCTGAGGAACCATAGAAGAGCTTCCAGTACTTTGTATAGATAGTGAGATTGAATTGACCTTGTTCTACCAGACATCACTGAGATTGAGTGTCTGTCCGAGTGACACCACCACACTGGTTCGACATGACAGGGTGGAGCTGTCACAGCGACCACTGGAGTGCCTTTCTACTAGACCACACTTCCTCTCTGAACAAAAGGTGTTGAAAAGAATATCACATACATTTGCATGTTCTATTCAGAAAAACAGTCTCGTTCTAGCACTGTTCAAAAAATCTGTTACATGCGTTGGGAGAAGTTCCTTGGTTACTCTTTTTCTAGGGTACTGATTTTGGAGTCAGGGGCCTAGGATCGTCCACAGAGCAGGGCTGGGTGTGGGTGTTGGAGACCAGAATCTCAATCACTGACAGTTTACCGTTCCAGCTGAAAGTCCGGCCTCTGAAGTAGGGTCTTTGCAGTGTGGTCATTGATGGAGCTAAAATCAGATGGGGACTGAATGGAGTCCGAACCAAAGCATTTCAGAATTTTCATTCTTGTCCCATCTGCCATCACAGGAAAGATGGTGATG